GCCAAAAATAGTAACAAGTCTCACAATGGAGATGTTACTGGGCCCGCTTGAGCAAATCGATGAAGAATGGGAGGACAGCGCTACAGTGCTACAATAGACAACAGAAGATCGATATCCATATAGTTCAGAGCCTGTGTCCAGGTCATGCCTGGGGGGTCAGGCATTTCCCCACCTGTAAGCGGGATCCAGACCTGACAGTCTGCCAGCATCCAGGGCCTCGCTGCCAGGGTCCAGGGACCAGGATCAGCTGACACCACTGTACCATCTTCTTTTTCCTTGGGGTCTGGGGCAGAGTGTGGAGGGGCCCTGGGGGCAGCTGCCACCCCACTCACTCCCACACTGGGCCTTGTTGCGGGAGCTGGTGAAAAAGCGGGTCTGCAGGAGCCTGGCATGGGGCATGAGGCTATTCCCCTCACACCCTCATTCCCTGATGCAGGTGAGGGCAGCTGCAGCCCCATGAAGGGGCTCTCCTCATGGTCTGACCCAGCACAAACACACAGACAGACAACACACAGACACAGACAACACACAGACACACAGACACATTCAACACAGATATAGACACAGACATACAGACCCAGACACACAGACCCAGACACACACAGCTGGAAGCACCGGGGAACTTTTTTTTTTTTTTTGCTTTTTGGGTCACACCCAGTGGCAGGGCTACTTCTGGCTCTGCACTCAGGAATTACTCCTGGCGGTGCTCGGGGGACCTGGGCTGGCCGCTTGCAAAAGCAAACGCCCTACCTGCTGTACTATGGCTCAGCCCCCCCACCCCACCCCGGGAAACATTTCTAACAGGGCTTTCCATGCCCGTCAGCTCCAGGGCCCTGCTCGCCTCTTTGGCCCAGGCCAAGGGCACAGTCAGCACCTTGGAGAGCGCCCGGCACCTGGCAAGAAACCCCCTCTCCCTCGGGCCTCTACTGTCCTGGGTCCGAGAAGAATCTGAGGGCAGAGTGACCGTACAGAGGGCCCGCGCTTGCTTTGCATGCAGCCAACTCAGACTTGATTCCCAGCACCCCATAGGGTGCCCTGAGCAATCACAGGAGTGATCCCTGAGCACAGAGCTGGAAGTAAGCCCTGAGCACCACTGGGTGTGGTGCTCCAAAAAGAGAACCTGCAAGTGCTCGACAAGCTCCAGGTTTGGCCTAGAGGCTGAACCCCCAGATTGGAGTTGAACCCACAGACTCATCCTCTCCTTGGCCTGGACTTGGAAGTGTGAGTCAGGGTGATGTCTGAACCCCCAAAGGGTCTCCCAAGACTGGAAGGACCTGCTCAGTGGACTCCCCGAGCCCCGTGCCAAGGCCTCGTGGGGAGCCAGGTGGGGCAGGAGAAATGAAAGCAGCCCAGGTAGGTGGTGAGTTTGGGGGGGCACCAGGCCTCATAGGCAAAGGGAGGCTGAAACCCTCAAATGCCTCAGCTAGGTGTCCGGGAGTGGGGTGGGCTGGGAGCGGGGGGAGGGGAGATGGGAAACCACAGCAGGCAGCTAGAGTTTTCATTCTAGAAATTTCCCTCTTGCTTCAAAAGAACAGACCGGCGTCCAGAAAACTAGAGGGCAGGCAGGCCCTGAAGGGCTGGTTGGAGGGGTGGGTGCAGGGGGGGGGGTCTGAGCTCTGTGAGGGCTCAGAATAGCTTGGTGGACGGAAACATGTCCAGCTGGGCTTGAACTTCAGGCCCAGGGTCAGCAGGGGGATAGCTGAGCCACTGCCCGACTTCAAAGTCGAAGCTGCCCACATTCCACTCGGGGCCCATGACAGAAGCACCAAGCTTGGGGGCCAGAGCAGCAGCCCAGCGCAGGGCACCTGGCTCGGGGGCACCACCTGGGGCAGCCCCACCAGGGGTAAGTCCCGGGAAACTCCCGGGTGTGGCCCCAACACAAAGTAACGGCTAGGGGCTGGAGCAATAGCACAGCGGGGAGGGCGTTTGCCTTGCACGCGGCCGACCCCGGTTCGATTCCCAGCATCCCACGTGGTCCCCTGAGCACCGCCAGGAGTAACCCCTGAGCATCGCTGGGTGTGACCCAAAAAGAAAAAAAAAAGTAACGACTAAACGAAAACAAGGCATCTGTCCGGTGGTCAGCCACGGCCGTACAGGCCGCACCCGGCCTGCAGCAGGTTCCCCAGCACCCCGGGGTGCCCCGAGCACTTCTGGACGGGCCGGGAAGGAAACAGCACGTGAGCGAGCGTCTCCTCCCCGACAGGGAGCCAGCACCGAGGCGCCCACGGGGCAGGGCTGTCCTGTCAGGCATGGAAGATTCTAGGCTGCTCCGGGCCTCTGCGGGGACTCCGGCGACTGACCCACGGGCCCGCCGCCGCCCCCAGCGCTCAGAGCGGGGGACCCTGCCAAGCCCCCCGGCGACGACAGGCGACACTCCGTCCCGCTCGGGTCCGGGTCCCTGACTGCTGTCGCCTTCGGCCGTTCCCCGGGAACAGCCGTCCCAACGCCCGGCCTCGGCCACCACCCCGGTCCCCGGGGGTCCCGGGCCCCAGCAGGCCGCGCGGGTGGGCAGGGCCCGAGCCCCGGGGGCCGCCCGGGAGGCCCCCCGAGAAATCCTCTCGGGCCCGCGGGCTCCGGCCTCCCGTCCCGCGTCTCCCGCCGAGGCCCGCGGCCCGCTCCAGCCCCTCGCGCTCGGCCCAGCCTCAGGGAGCGGAAGGACGGACGCCCGCGCCGGCCCGGGGCTTCCTGGGGGACGGGGGCGCCTCTCCGGGCCGCGCGGGAGCCCTCGCGGGCCGGAAGTGTGTCCAACCGGGAGACCGTCCCCCTCGGGAAGGCGGGCCGCCGGAAGTCTGCCTTGGCCCGCCCCCAGGCCGCCGCAATTGGGTAGCTCCCTCAGGGAGGCGGGGACACAGCTCCGGCCCGCTTCTCTATTGGCTGAAGCCTCCTGGCCCGTCGCGGCTTCAAATCTCGCCCCGGCGCTCTGGGTGGACAGGTCGCCTGCGCTCCGCCCCCGACGCGCTTCTTCGCCTTTCAGGCCCCGAGCGGCGGCGGCGGCGACGGCGGCTGCGACGCCCGCGTCCCGCCGGGCTGTGGGGTCGTTGCCCGCGGAGGCGCTCGCTCGCGTGTCGCCGAAGCCGGGGCCCGGAACGTTTGTGCGCGGAACCAACCCCCGGAAGGACGCGCGGGGATGGCGGGCGCCGCGGGCCCGGGCCGGGCCGTGCCGGTGCAGCTGCGGCGCGAGCGGCGCCTGGTGTGCGTGGAGTACCCGGGCGCGGTGCGCGACGTGCCCCGGATGCTGAGCACGCTGGGCGGCGAGGAGGCCGTGTCCCGGGTGAGGAGGCGTCGCCCGCCGGCGCGTTGGCTTCCGTGCGAGAGTTTGGGGGGCTGGGGGGGCTGGTTTTGTGTGCGGGCACAGCCGGCGGTGCTGGGCTACTCCTGACTCAGTGCTCACGGGACCATGCAGCGCCAGGGGTCGAACCCACCGTACAGTACAGCCTTTTGAGACGCTCTTTGGCCGCGAAATTGTGTTATTTTTTTTCTTGTTTTTATTTCGGGGGGTGGGCGCTGCACGCGAGCCGTGCTCAGGGCTGACTCTTGGCTCTGTGCCCAGGGCTCATCCTGGCAGGGCTCGGAGACCGCACCCAGGTCAGCCGCATGCAAGGCGAGCATCCTGTCTGCTGTACTGTCACCGGCACCCTCTTTTTGGCTTTCTATGGTTTTGGGGGCACGGCCAGCTGTGGGCGAGGCTCACTCCTGGCTCTGTGCTCAGGGATCCCCTGGCGGGGCTCTGAAGACCATATCTCTGCCAGGACTCGCGCTGAGCCAGCCTGGCACCGTCCCTCCCTCCCAAAGTGATGTTCCAGCGTTTGTCTGTGACTTGCGCCTGAAACTTGGCTTTCTGGAGAGCTGCACATGGTCTTGCAGTCACTCACTCCGCAGTCCCAACATCCACATTACGTGCCCACAGCCCATGAGTCTGGGGTCAAAACTGCCCTGGAGTCCTCAAAGCAGCCTGGTGGTCCGCCTCATCGTTCAGGTTTGCAGAGAATTGCAGAGCTAGGGAGGCCCCTCACTGAAATTGCTGCCAGCTGGGGTTTCCTCCTGCTCCTGCCTGGGGGACCCGCCTTTCCATTCATTCTGGCCTATTCCTCAGGCATGGCAAGACCCGCACTCCCTGGGCACCCACTGCAGAGGGCGCCCTTTGGAAAAGATTCTGGTGGTCCCCCCTGCCAGTGAGTCTCTCCCACTCCCTTTGCGCCCCACTGCATGCGGGGTCCTTCCAGTCCCTGTGGCTGCGGCTGCGTTTTCTGGGGCCTTTTATTTATTTATTTGTAACTTTTTAATCGAATCGCCGTGAGATAGACTCCTACAAAGCTGTTCATGATTGGATTTGAGTCATACAGTAGTCCAACTCCCATCCCTTCACCAGTGCACATTTCCCAGCAGTCCTGGTGCCTTTTTTTTGGGGGGGGGGGGTCACACCCGGCAATGCACAGGGGTTCCTCCTGGCTCTGCACTCAGGAATTACTCCTGGCGGTGCTCAGGGGACCATATGGGATGCTGGGAATCAAACCCCGGTGGGCCGCATGCAAGGGAAACGCCCTACCTGCTGTGCTATCTCTCCAACCCCCAATCCTGGTGCCTTTTAACCCTCTGCCCGGATGCCTTCTGAACACAGGCCCTGTTCAAGTTACGCAGGGCGGGAGCTGAAGGGTGCCACTGTGCAGGGGCCCTGGCCTGGTGCTGCTCACCCCCCCACTCCCACCCCCTGTGGGTCAGCCTTTCCTCACTCCAGAGTCCTTAAGTTTTGGGGGAATGGGAAGGGGTGAAGTTGCCGAAGCTTTCCTCATTCCAGGTGAGCCTTGGGGAGCCGAGAACTGCAGAATGAGCTTCCTGAGTGCCGGGCAGGAATCGTGGGGGGCACAGTGGGAAGTGCCCCCCCCATGCTGGCCGGGCTGCTCACGCTCTCTGTCTCCTGCCACAGATCTATGCGGACCCCTCCAAGAGGCTGGAGCTGTACTTCCGGCCCAAGGACCCTTACTGTCACCCCTTGTGTGCCAACCGCTTCAGCACCAGCAGCCTGCTACTCCGCGTCAGGAGGAAGCGCCGGCGCCAGAGGGATGCCCAGCCCGATGGCGTGTTCCACATGGAGGTGCTCGGCACCGTCTCCACCATCTACAAGTTTCAAGGTGCCTGCTCTGGGCCGGGAGAGAGCGCGGGGCTGAGCACAGGGCAGGCCAGCGGGAGCCGCAGAGCACTGGGCCGAGAGCATGGAGAGCTGGGCGAGTTCCGTTAGGAGGCAGCGGAAGCCCTGAGCAAGGAGGAAGTTTATTTGCTACTTCTGTTATTATTCCTAATGTTTTGGTTTCTGGGCCATACCCAGTGGTGGTCGGGGCTCATCCCTGGCTCTGTGCTCAGGAATCACTCCTGGTGGGCTCAGGGGACTGTCAGGGGTGTTGGGGATCGAACCCAGGTTGGCCGCATGCAGGCCGAGTGCCCTCCTTGCTGTGCTATCGCTGCGGCCCCGGAGACGGGGTTTTCACCTGTTCTGAAAGCAGCAGGAAGGGCCAAAGCAAGAGTACAGCGGGTAGGGGTAGGGGCACCATATGTGGTGCCGGGGTCAAACCTGTGTCTGCTTGTGCAAGGCAAGCACCCTCCCCGCTGTACTGTCGCTCCAGCCCCTAGGGTCACACTCCCTGCCTGTGACTCGCTCGTTCCGCTTCTGTGCTGGTAAGGGGCCACAGCGGTGCTGGTCGCCCTCAACTGCAGTTTATTCCAATCTCCTCTCCATTCTCCTCTGATTCTCCTTCTGCCTCTCTCTCTGGACCCCCCTCATTCTCCTTCTCACTCCCCCAGCCCACTCTGACAGTCTGGTTTACACAGAAATCATGTAGGGTGGGGACACAAAGGTGGGGTTGAACGTGAACAAATCAACAAAGAGAGGTTAGGCCACTCCTCCAGGAGATTAATGCAAGGACAAAATCTCATCTAAGGAGATGACTCCAGATGACTAGGAGATCCGCTCAAGGGCGGGATTCCATTCGGGGTGTGTTGCTTTCTTCTTTCCCCAGCAAGTAATCCACTTAAATAGTGGTAGTAAATTTACTTCTAATATTTCTAGCAGTGTCATTTTGTATGAGCACAGTAAGAGATATATCAAGCTTAAAGTTTGGTTCTTTCTGAGGACATCTCACTAGATATTCCAGACCACAGTTCTCAGGCCAGGTTAGTCTCCTGACCCCAGCAGGGTCCTTATTCAGTTACCTCTTTTGGGTCATGACAGAGTTTGTCCATGACTGTGCTCTTAACTTATAAATTAAGTATTGTGGCACTTGACCTGGCCCATTTTGATGCCAGGGTAGCTCACAGCTTGCCCTGGGTCCCTTCAGTGCCTTGTTTAGACCTTGCTTTTGGGGTGCCAGGGACTAAGGGCAACTGAGGCTTAAGTCGAGGAAGCAGATGTCTAGGAGTGAGTATTGTTCGGAGTCAATAAACTCCCAAGTTACAAAAGCATAATATTAACTGTCTTCCTGTGTCCATACAGAAAGGACATTGCTTTAAAGTAAACTATACAAAAGATGGGGACAAGCAATGTTTAACTTAAAATACAAGTTCAGTGTCCTTAGAAGGATTTGACCTTACAAGTTAACTGAATCTGATTAGGGGGAAAAGGCGATTAACTGGTTGGGGAGGACAGCACAGAGAAGAGTTTACAGATGAAGGAATGGAAGTGACTTGGGAGCACTGTGATGGGAGTAACCCGATAAACCTAAGCTCCCTGTGGCAAGGGAGAAAAGACAAACCAGTGTTACCCGACGTGGTTTATGGGCCATACCTGGTTGTTCCCAGGGCTGACTCCCGGCTCTGTGCTCGGGGATCACTCCTAGCAGGGCTCAGGGACCCTCTGGGTTTCAGTGCGTGCAGACAAGTGCCCCAGCCCCATTCCCACCCCCTGTACTCTGTCTCTGGCCCCTCATCTTCTTCTGTTTGTTTTGGGGGCCACACTCGCGGTGCTCGGATTACTCAGAGCTCTGTACTTAGGAATCTCTCCTGGCAGGGTCGGGGACTCTATGGGGCGCTGATGATTGTACTCCTCTCGGTCATGTGCAAGATGAACGCCCTCCCTGCTGGCCCCGTCTTCTTTTTTGTTTTTGTTATTTTGGGTCACACCTGGCTGTGCTCGGGGGGTTACTCCTGGTTCTGCACTCAGGAATTATTCCTGGCAGTGCTCGGGGATGCTGGGGATTGAACCTGGGTTGGCTGCATGCATGGCAAACCTCCGCCAAAGTGTCGGCCTCCCTGCTGTGCTGTTCTCCCTTTCAAAGACTCTGGCTCCAGACCTAGCTCCTCCCCGGCTGTTCTGGCCTTGCTCGGCCCTCGGCTCCCCTTGTCTCGTTCTGTCCAGCTGTTGGGCTGGCTCCCTTGGAGAGAGGCCCCTCAGCTTTTTCTTTTTCTTTCTTTTTTTTTGGGGGGGGGTCACACCTGGCGATGCTCAGGGGTTACTCCTGGCTCTGCACTCAGAAATTACTCCTGGTGGTGCTCGGGGGACCATATGGGATGCTGGGAATTGAACCGGGTCAGCTGCGTGCAAGGCAAACGCCCTACCTGCTGTGCTGTCGCTCCAGCCCCTCAGCTTTTCCTTCTTTAAGTTTAGCTTGTGTTTCTCATCTCCTTTCAAATTCTTAGCAGGTCCTCACAAGTTTGCCACCACTGGGATGCCCAGTGAGAGGCTGGGAGTAAGAACTTGCCCCTGTGGGGCTCTGTGTGTTCTTGTACCTTGTCTCCAAGCTTCCCAGTCTCCCAGCCTCCCAGTGTCCCATTCTCCTGGCCTCCCATCCCCTTGGCCAACCTGCCTCCCCGTCTCCTTGATGCAGCCGTGACTGGTGTGCCGTGGCCCTGGGGAGTTCCGTGAGAGGCTACGGCCAGGCCTGGGCAGGCCTCCGTGTAGCTCTTGCGTGGGTTCTGGAAGAGCAGCCCAGGGAGCTAGGCAGAGTGCCGGTACTTCATTGCATGAATGAGTCTGGCTCAATTCCCAGCACTGAGATGGTGCCCCACCCCGTCAGATAGAGAGCACGAAGAAGTGAGGGGGAGAAGAGCAGGCAGGAGAGAGTTGCCGACCAGAGTGGGGTCCACTGTGTGTGCTGAGCATCAGCACGGGGGGCCGGAGGGCCATGCAGTGTTCCAGGGAGTCCCCTCACTCCCGAGACCCGCCAGGCGCCCGTTAAGGAGACGTGATGCTCAAGCGGGCCAGGGCCACTCCTCGCTGTCTCCCTGGCCCCTCCCGAATCTGTTGAGTGATTTGGGGGTGCCCTGTGGAGAAGCTGTGAAGCAGGGGACTCCTGTCCCCAAGGGCCACTGACCAGTCCCTGGCCCCTGGCCCCCAGGGCATCTGATCAGTCCTGGGCCCCTATCCTCCAGGGCCACTGACCAGTCCCCAGTCCCTGTCCCCAGGGCGCTGACCAGTCCGGCGTGTCCCCAGGCATGTCTGACTTCCAGTACCTGGCCGTGCACCTGGAGCCGGGCGGCACGCTGCTGTCGCTGTACGACAAGGTGCTGCTGGAGAAGCCGGAGCAGGAGGGGTTCTTCCACCAGGATCTGCCTCTCTTCATCCCCCCGCCCATCTTCTCGCGCCTCGACACCCCCGTGGACTACTTCTACCGGCCCGAAACGCAGCACCGGTGAGGACCCCTGTGAGCCACCCCACCCTCTGCCCTTCTTTCAGAAACGGGGTCCCGCGGTCCCCACCCAGGGCTGCCTTGGCCTCACGTCTCCGCGTGCCCGTGAACTGTCTCTCCCTTTGGTGCCCTTGCTGCCAGGCATTGGGGCCAGGCTGTGGCCTATCCTGGCGTGTCTGCTGCCCCTGGCCTGACCCTCGGCTGCTGGGCTGCTTCCGAGTCCAGTTTGCCTTTTCCGGGGCCAGAATCCAAGCCGAGGCCTCAGCCACCAGACCGCAGCAGTTTCGTGGCATAGTTTTTCAGTTCTCCCATGAGCCCCCAGGATTGTCGGCGGCCCCTCTGCTCTCTGCTGTGGCTGAGGGACACCGCGAGGCTGGCCTGCGGCGAGGCCCTGTGCAGATGAAGAGGTGGCAGCTGGGCACAGACCCGCAGTGGGCAGGCTGGCTCAGGCGTTGTCCCTGAGCACAGTTCAGCGCCCCTGACAGGGCAGGTCTCGGCACCTGCTCACCTTGCCTCTCCCCTCACAGCCAGGGCACATGGCGTCAGGCGTGGGGGCCCAGCCCCAGCCCTGGTCCCCGCGCCCGCAGAGACTTGCTCAGTGCTGACGCCACCCCAGGAGGGTCACGGGAAGTCACTTCTGCAGGGTAGGCACCCGGAGCAGCTCCGGACCCAGCAGGAGAACAGGCAGGGACCGCCCGGCCTTTTGCAGACCAGCGGGGATTGCCTGGTGATGTCTGCTGCCGGCAGGCGGCCTCTGGCCTTGGCACACAGCCAGAGTTGAGAGGCCAGAGGGCCCGGAGTCCGTGTGCTGCAGCCCCCCGGGCCACGCTGAGCATGTGTGGTAACCACCGCCTCCCCGCCACCTGGAGACTGGAGATTGGCCAGTCACCCTCTCCCTGCCATCGGGAGACTGACGAGTGGCCAATGCAGGCCGCGCTGCTTGGCCGAGCTGGGTGAGAGGCGCAGGTGACGTGGCCGCTGGAGGGACGGGCTGCTGTCAGATCTGGCCTGGCCGCGTCAGGGTCAGCCTGCACCCTGCAAGGAGCAGGACTGGGAGGAGGAGGCAGCGTGTGAGCATGGGGGAGTAGAGGGGCCGGGGGGCCAGAAGCCAGGACGGCCAGACCTGTGGGGACGGTGCCTCGCGGGGATTGGGGCCAGCAGGGCTGCACCCCGGGGCCCGTGTCCCGATGGCGCTGGGAGGGGCCCACCGGGGGACCTTCGTGGCCTTTGCTAACTAGAACCTGTGGGGAAGGGAGGGCAGGGGTGAACCGATGCTGAGTGGCCTCTGTGGTGTCTCCCAAGTGGCCGGTGGCCTCCATGTGTGCGCTGACGTGTCCCCTTGGGCCACCTGGACTCTTTCCCTCAGAGCTCACTCTGGTGGCTGGAAGCAGGCAGAGCTCCCAGGAAATGCCGCTTCAGGGGTGCGTGGGGGCCGCCCTTGGGCCTTGTCCTTGTCGCCTTGTTGCCGCCCCGTGCGCCCGGGGAAGCTGCCCGTTCTCCCAGGACACATTGATTTTCGCAGCCCTGGGTTCTGCCCGGTCTGCAAGCGGGCACTGCCCCCGCCGGGGCCAGAGGACAGGTCAGAGGGCTCAGTGAGGTCCCTGGGGGCCACGTCACTGCCTCGGACAAGTGCGGGCAAGGCTGGCCGGACAGAGTCCAGCACCCAGGCCTGGGACGCGGCTCAGCGCTCAGCACCTGCTGTGACACAGGGGACAGTGCAAGGGGGGTTCTGGGGCCAGGTGTGGGGCCTTTGTTCCCCCCATCCCCAGCACCCAGCACTCAGCATAGGTTTCTGGGGCGTCTTCAGAGCAGCCTCTGCGACCCCTGCCTCCCGCCAGGGTCTCCCAGGGTCCACGGCTGCATGCAGTCACCCGCATTATGACGGTGACACTGGAGCCTTAACTCCTGTCAGAGGCCCAGGAGCCCCGAGTCCTGTCAGAGGCCGGGAAGCCCTGAGTCTTGTCAGAGGCCAGGGAGCCGTGGAGGTCTCCAGCCCCGATGCGGGGTCCCTGCCTCTGCTCACCCAGCCTGCCCCCAGGGAAGGCTACAACAACCCTACCGTCTCGTGCGAGAACCTGATTGGCCTGAGCCGGGCCCGGCGCCCCCACAACGCCATCTTTGTCAACTTTGAGGACCCCGAGGTGCCCGGGCAGCCGTTGGAGGCCGCGGTGCACACGTGGAGGCGGGTGTGCGCCAACCCCGTGGACCGGGAGGCCGAGGAGGAGCTGCGGAAGGTGAGCCCGGGGACCCCCACCCACCCCGCCCCCCCACCTCCCGCCCACTGAACCCCGCGTGTCTGCAGCTCTTCGACGTCCGTCCCGTGTGGTCTCGAAACGCCGTCAAGGCCAATCTCAGCATCCACCCGGACAAGCTCAAGGTCCTGCTGCCCTTTCTGGCCTATTACATGGTGAGTGACGCAGGCCCATCACGCTCGCCACTCCCGGTCCATCCCTGCACTGCCGTGTTAGTGGCACAGGCGGGTGAGAAGGACTTTCAGGGAGGGCTTGGTCAGTACTCAGAGGCTACTCGCAGCCCCGTGCTCCTGGGGCTCCGTGTGGTCCCCGGGGGCCTGGGGTACCCCAGACGCTCCTGCACGTGCACCTCCCCAGCCCCAGACAGCAGTGTTCACGCTGTTGGCGGAGCCCTGGGGACTTGCCCCAGTCAGGGCTGAGGCAGGGTCATCCCTGAGGTTCCCTAGGAGCCGGCGTCCCCTCTGGGGCATGGTACAGGGCGGGGTCATCCCAGCGTCCCTCCAGGGTTTCTGGGCCAATGTGATGTGCTGCTGAGACGTGCGGGGCAGTGGGCGCGGAGCCGTCCTGGGGAGCTGCCACTAGCTTGAGTTGCCTTCCCACCCCAGCCTGTAAAGACGCTGGCCAGGGCCGGCAGAGCCACTGGCCACCCGCCATGTCCTCCCTCCCACAGCAGGGTGGGCTGAGGAGGCTGGTGGCCTGCCCACAGGGGCAGTGCCGTGCCGGCCCTGACCTCTCCTTACACCCATGGTGCCTCCAGATAACCGGGCCCTGGAGGAGCCTGTGGATTCGCTTCGGGTACGACCCCCGGAAGGATCCTGCCGCCAAGATGTACCAGGTCCTGGATTTCCGGATCCGGTGCGGGATGAAATACGGTGAGGCACCTCGGCCCCACGTGCTTGCCCCCCGCCCCAGCAGCTTCTGTGCCAGGCCGAGCTGTCCCTGGGGCTCTGTGACACTGACCCAGGGCGTTGGGGGCGAAGGGTGCTCCCATCTCACGTTGGGGTGCCGCTCACTCAGCCTGTGCCGCGGGGCGCGGGACCTGCTCTTGGCTGCCCTGACTCCGGAGCATGTTTGTAACACCGCAAGCCACAGTCAGGCACAAGCCCATCCCCCCTGCAGGCTCCACCCCTGTAACCTCTGCTCTGTCTGCAGGCTACACCCCCAATGACTTGCCCGTGAAGGCCAAGCGCAGCACGTGCAACTACAGCCTCCCCATCACCGTCAGGAAGACAGGTGAGCCGCCGTCTGGGCCAGCACCCCCAGGGGCCGGGCAGCCTGGCAGGGGGTGCAGCCCTAGGCACCATGAGCTCGCCCTACTCTCCTACTCCCGTAGCCAGCCAGCTGGTCACTGTGCAGGACCTGAAGCAGGGCCTGGGCCCCTCGGGAGCCGCCAGTGCCCGAAAATCCGCCTCCAGCAAGTACAAGCTCAAGGTGGGCACCAGGGGGAGGTGGTGGGGGGGCTGTCTGGTGGGAGGGGGGAAGAGTCCCCCTGCAGGGCCACTGGAGCAGAGGGACCCAGGGGCCACGAGGAGCAGCTGTGTCCCTGTGGCTCTGGCTCCCGAGATGTGCCGCAGGGGGTGAGGGCCCCTGGGACGTGCTGCCACCCTTCCGGCCACTCTGTCCAGGACTCCGTCTACATCTTCCGGGATGGGGCCCTGCCGCCGTATCGACAGATGTTCTACCAGCTGTGCGACCTCAATGTGGAGGAGTAAGTGCGGGGGTCCCCGGGATGGGCTCCTGGCTGGAAATGCGGCGGGGATCCCTACCCTGGCAGCCCTCACCTAGCGCAATTCCAGTTCTTCCCCACGTTGCTCGCAACCCCTGCCCCCAGGAGCACCTGCTGGGCCTGGGCCCCCGTATGGTGATGCTTCTTGCCCTTGGGGGAAGCTCAGGGGCCGGTCCGGGGCACCGCCTGCCCATGACCCCACTGTGCCCACGTGCCCCCAGGCTGCAGAAGATCATCCGGCGCAATGACGGCACGGAAACGAGCTGCACAGAGCGGGACGGCTGGTGCCTCCCCAAGACCGGTGACGACCTGCGGGATGCCATGTCCCTCATGATCCGCCAGACCATCCGTGCCAAGAGGCCGGGTGAGGCACCCTCAGGGTCCCCCAGCACCCAGAGGGGCGGCCCCTTTGGTTCTGACCGAGCTGCGGCCTTCCCCTGGACACCTTGGGGGCCCTCTCCCATCCCCCGTGCTGCCCCCCCAGCAGGCCTGTCACCCCACCCTGTGCTGTGCTTACGACCCCTGTCCCCCCACAGCCCTGTTCTCCAGCCCGGCCAAAGCTGAGGGCAGCCAGGACCAGCCGGCCTACGAGTGCGGGGAGGACGGGGAAGACGGGGAGGACGAAGAGGACGAGGAAGAGGACTTCAAGCCGTCAGACGCGAGTGACAATGAGATGGAGACGGAGTTGCTGGACTATGTGTGACTTGCACGTGGACCCTGCTGATGGGGGGACCCTGTGGAAAGCCCACGGGGCGCTTGGGACAGGCCAGTCCTGCCTGACACTTGCTCCCTGCAGTGCTAAGCCAGGCCAGCGGTCTTCAGTGGTGCAGTGGCACTGGGCCCCCCCGTTGTCTGAGCGGACAGTGGGGAGCTGAGCCCAGGGTACACACCCACCCACTTGTGACTTCCGGGGCCCAGGCCAGGCCCTGCAGACTCCCGTCATTAATTCCTTTCCCAGGAGCCCCGGTGTTGGGGGGTGGTCTAGGCACTGGGCCCGGCAGCCCCCTCACTGCCGCCTTTGGTCCTTGTCAGTGACCTCTTTCTCGGCGGGGGGGTCACACCTGATGATGCTTAGGGGTGACTCCTGACTTTGCGCTAAGAAATTATTCCTGGTGGTGCTCGAGGGACCATATGGGATGTTGAGGATCGAACCCACGTCAACCACGTGCAAAGGCAAACACCCTCCCTAATGTCCTATTGCTTCGGCCCATTCACTGTTTTCTTGTGGGCAACACTAGGGCCCCACGGACCCTGGCGGGTGGGAAGGAGCAAAAAGAATTGACCTTTGTCTTCACTGGGCCCCGGAACAAGGCAGCAGGGGACGGGGGACTGGGGTGCACAGGCAGCCTGCCCAGAGGTGCATCTCCCCAGTCTGGGGCCCCCAGCAGCTCCCTGCTAAGGCTCCCCCTGCCAGGGGATCTGCTCTATCTCCCAGGAGCCCCGAGGCCCACCGGAACGGGGGTGCATTCCCACCCTGTCCACCCCAGAGCTGACCCAGCAGAGATGTGTCCCCAAGGCCGAGGGGTCCCTAGCGCCTCTGCTTCACCAGACATGCCCACAGCCACAGTGGCAGCTTGCATGGAAACCCCGCACCAGGCAGAGCCCGAGGCTCCCACCACCCAGCCCCACAGGGGCCAGTGACGGGGCGAGGGCTGGTTTCGGGCTTGGGGGGAATGATGAGTTGTGGGGTACCTGTAGCTGCCCAGCCCGTGTCCCCACAGGGCTCTCTGCACCCCCCCCCCCGCGTGCCTACAACTCTGGGCTTGATTGGTCCATCTCAGTCCTGTAGGGTTCAGTTGGGGCCACCCTGGCCATGCCCGGGGGTACTGGTCCAGGCCGGCTGCAGGCAAGGCAGATGGCATCCCCATTGCACAGTCTCTCAGACCCTACATTTCTTTGCCTGTACAAAAAGTTCTCAGTGCGATTTTGTCCCAATTGTGTATTATTTGGTTGAGCTCCCCCAGCAGTGCTCGGGCTGTTTCTGGCTCTCTGCCCAGGACTCACTTGTGGTGCTCAGCTCCAGGGAGCTAACAGGGTCTGCAGCGTGCAAGGCAAGTGCCCACCCCTTGCACTGTTGCCTTTGGCTCCCTGCATCTTGGATGCTGAATCACTGAGGTCCGTCCGTTGGTCCCGTCATCTGGAGCCTGTAGGTGAGGCCAGATGCACGCAGCATCTGTGAGGAGCTCGAGTGGTTGCTGGGTCAGGATGCAGTCACCCCACACCAATTCCTGGAGTTTCCTCCCCAGTGTGACCATGACAGCTCCGTTGCAGGTTAAGCGTCTGTATATGTCCAGATTCATTTCTGCTTTTGGTGGTATGCTGTCAATCTGTATGTCTTTATTTTGAAATCTTAGGGGTTCTTTTTGGTTTTGTTCCATTCATTGTTTATAATGAACAGTTTTAATGACTATTGCTTGGCTGTGATATAGCTCTTGTGTGTTTTTTTTTTTCACCCTCCATATTGCTCTGGCTATGTAGGTTCTTCGTTATTCCATAAATATTTTGGTTCCCTTTAGAAGTATGTATGAGGATTGGAGTGATAGGACAGCAGGGAGGGCACTGGCCTTGCATGTAGCTCATCTGGGTTTGATCTCCAGCATCCCATATGGTCCCCTGAGCACCGCCAGGAATAATTCCTGAGTACAGAGCCAAGAGGAACCCCTGAGCACCAGGTGTGGCCCCAAAACAAAATTTTTTAAAAAAGTATTCATGAGTGATAGTACAGTGGAGAGGGCAACTTTCTTTGCGAGCGGTTGGCCTGGGTTTGCTCTCTGGCACCCCATTATTTTTCCCTGATCCCACCTGGGAGTAATTCCCAAGTGGAGAGCCAGGAGTAAGCCCTGAGCACTGCCGGGTGTGACCCAAAACCAAAAAGAAAGCATGCATGAAACCCTGTCACCAGATCTATTATAAATTCCTGTTCTAAAACAATGAAAAGATAGCTGTCATTGAACTTTACATAGGGCTCACATTAGTTATGTTTTTTGTAAAATGAGTATTTTGGGGGGATTGGGCCACACCCGGTGATGCTCAGGGGCTATTCCTGCTTCTGTGCTCAGAAATTAGCCTGGTATTTTTGGAGATTCAAACAGCAGGGTGCAAAGGTGCTTTTACCGTTGGGTGACCTTTCTGACCTGGCCCCTCGGATGGACACGTGGACTATATTCTGCCCATTTGTGAACATGGAATATCTTCCTGTATCTGGTCCCTTGCTTTAAATCTTGGAACAGTTTCCAGTTTGGGGGGTCCCAAGCAAGTGACCTCCAGTGTCACACCCAGAAGTGCTCTGGGGTCTTGGGCACCTCGTGTTCTGGGGTTTGAACTTGAGTCCTCGTGCCGGCAGAACATAGGTGCTGACCACTGTGCCATCTCCTTGGCCCTCGTGGTCTGGGCTGTCGGGCTGTTGCTCTGAGCTTCTCAGATGTGACCTCCCTGGGCAGAGTCAGGAATGGAAGGTTCAGAAAGGACAGGCTGGAGCTGGCAAGGGCGGCCTGGCCACTCTCACTGAGCCCCTGTGATTGGCCACACTTAACTGATGAAGATCAGTACAATTGTGTTTACCCTCCCTGACCGTGCTCCAATCAGGAAGAACTTTTCCAGTGTTTACCTCAGTTCCGTACACTGTGATGTCCACTGGGTTTGTGTTCTGCTCTGCCCATTCAGAACCATGGCCATTCTGGCCAAGGCGTGGGGAGGGCACAGGTTCGGAGCCAGGGAGTGCCGTGAGGTGAAGCATACCAGCATGCTAGCCCCAGGGCTGCCCCCACACTGAGAGGGCCCTCCCCCCATACATGTCCAGCGCAGGCCTATCCCACACCTCAGGGGCTGCCTCTGCACTTTCTATAGGTCAACGGGCCAAGATCCAAAGCTTCCAACCTCAGATAATTTTCATTAACATCTTTGTTCGTCAACTAGAACAGAATTAAAGTTTTTGCTTTTACCACCAGGAGTGCTCCCTGAGCACCCTCAGTTGTGGCCCAAACAACAAAACTTTTTTTTTTAAATGTACTCGCATTTTCTATGTTGATCACGTGGACATCCTACCTGTCTCAACAATAGTGAGCTAATATTGAAATAACCTTAGTTATTAAAGATTTGCCCAAGCCAGGCAGGTGAGCGTCTACTTGTAAAAGTTTAAGGAAACTGAATGAGACAGTGCTTCTTTGTTTACCTCTAAATCCATCTGAAAAACTCCCCCCACCCACCCTCCCTTCCCCCCCAGCGCTTGGAAAGGGATTTGGCAATACGCCAGCTTTCAGATCAGGCACAGCTGGAGGGTGGCGCTGGAGTCCAGTTCCATGTTCTGCTGGGAGCATCTCCTGAGCACAGGGCCAGGAGTGGCCCCCAGGCACCATCTGGTGTGACCCCAAACCACACAAGATCCTGAGTACCAAAAATACAAATAAATACAGAGGCACAAACAGATACAGCATTCGCTCTAAACGTCCAGTCAGCCCTCAGTACAACATGCTGACAGATTCTTCAGGACTCTATCTGATAGTGCTCAGGCTGTCTCCTGGTTCTGTACTCAGGGGTCACTTCTGGTGGGCTCAGGGGACTATATGGGGTGCCAGGGATTAAACCCGCATCAGCCATATGCAAGACAAGTGTCCTAGCCACTGTACCATCGCTCCAGCCCCACTATATATTTTATTCAAATTGTTCCTGGCAGCTGACTCAGGTTAAAGCTCTGAATATTTGTAAGTAACGTTGCCTCTTTACCTCTCAGGGCTTTGTGTCTGGCCCTGCTGGAGGGCTGGATTAAATGCTGGGCAGTGTCTCCAGAGCTCAGGTCGGGACAAAACACAGTCCTGTTGGAGACACCTTTTCCGGGGGCTTCTCTGTCTGAGGGGATTGTTCTCATGGCTTCCTGAGTCCCTCAAGAGTCCCTCGACAGGGCCGACAGTTGGGACAGCCCAGGGCTGGTGTGGGGAGGACAGTGCATAGAAAGAGGAGGTGGGCTGGAGAGAGGGGGAACAGGAGGGTCAGCACGTGCAAGTATGGAAGCTGGGGCCCTGACCAGCTCTCCCAGCTGCCTGGACCCCCCGGGCTTCGGGGTCTGCAGCCCTGACACCTGTATTTGGGGCCCTAACCCAGCCTACAATATTGTGTGAGTTGACCACTGGCTTTGTGCTCAGGGATCATTTCTGGCTGGGCTTTGGGGACCGTATTTAGTGGTAAAGGTCAAAACTGGTCCGCTGCCTGCAGAGATCCCCCACTGACCCCTCCTCGGTGCAGGGCGGCTATAGGTTCAGACTTGCCTGAGGCGCCCAGTTCCCTGCTGGACCCAGCACACAGTAGGGAATTTACCCAAAGGGCTTCCGCCCCCGCCCCCCATTGCCCCAACTTCACCTCCATGCACAGGGAAGATGCAGTGCCCAGCCTGGAGCTGGGAGGCAAGTGCCGAGCCACCTTGGGAGTCTGGCCCAGAGACCCGCATCCTGGGGTGATGCAACTGCCTGAAGGCGTTCTGGAATCTTCCAGGAAAAGCTTGCATATTCATGAGCACCAAAGCCTGTGGATTCAAGAGCACTAGGCGAGCACGGACAGTTGAGGAAGTCTGTGGACCCACTGGCATGTGTCACTGGCACAGGGACCCGGACAGTGGGGGAGGGAGGGGCAGGACTAGCGTGTCAGCATGCCAAGAACAAAGGAATAAAGGTGGCTGAGATGGTCCCCACTGTGCAGGCTCCGGGGTCACTTCCGCCCAGCCAGTGACCCTGTGGGGCTTGATCAGCAGAGACTGAGGTCTCTGGACAAGAGCTGAGTGCTGAGAGCAGGTGGGGTAGGTAAAGGGATGTCACC